GGAGAGGAAGGGATGTACAGATGGAGCACAGAGGATTTTTAGGGCAGTGAAACTACTCTATATACTATGATGGTGCATTTTTATTAGTATGGATTTGTCAAAACCCATACAACCTACACCACCAAGAGTGAACCCTGATGTAAACTATAGACTTTAGGTGATAATAATGTGTCAGTGTAGGTGCATCATTTGTAACAAATGTACCGATCTAGTGAGCATGTTGATCCTAGGAGCGTCTATGCATGTTTGAGGTCAGGAAGGATATGGGAACTCCTTCTCCTTTACACATAATTTTTCTGTCAACCTAAAACTACTCTAAAAAATAGTCTACTTGGAAAAAAATAAAGTCAAAGATCTGAATGGACATTTTCCATGAAAGATACACAAATAGCTAATAAGCACGTGAAATTATGCTCGAGATCATTAGCTATCAGAAAAATGTAAATAAAAATCACAAGATACCATTTTAGACCCACTAGACAGGCTATTAGAAAAAAAGAAAACAAGCGTTGGCGAGGATGTGGAGAAATCAGAACCTTTATCCTTGCTGATGGGACCATAAAGTGGTACAGTCACCGTGGAAAACAGTTTGGCAGTTTTTCAAAATTGGGAATTATCACATGATTCAGCAATTCCACTACTAAGTTTATATGCCTGTTGACAGAAAATTAATCAGTTGCTCTAAGAAAGAAATGGAAAAATGTATTGAGCCAAATTTGAGGATTATAACTCAGGAAGAGCATCTCAGAAAGCTCTGGGAACTGTTCCACCTGTTGGAACTCAAGGCACAGTTAGAGAAGTATTTTTTTGTTTTTGAAACAGAGGGCTGTACATCAAAGGACACACTGTTGACAGTTTATGTAATCAGATCTAAGCACCACGTGACCCCTTAACACCAAGAAGTAATGTTATCTGTAAGAAGTTGTCTTATTGATGCTAGAAGAATATGCTCTTAACAGTTGGGCAGGTATTTCTGCTGAATGGAAAAGTTGGGTCCATGCATAATGCAGATACACAATGCACAGTGGGGGTGGAGAGGAGGTCAAAGGGCAGAGAACATTTTTCATTTAAATCTTTCTTGTCTTGCCATAAAATATTAATTTTATTTCACATACTCAAGCCTGGGGTATGCCCACAGTCATTCTTGGATGTCAATAGTGTTGGCAGGTACAGTTGGTTAGTTTCACTTACATCTCTAATGAATCCACCATTCTCCTCTTAATTGCTTTTCACTACAACTACCATTGTTTCTGAGAGCACCTCTAGGTTTGAACTTCTTCACACTCTGTTGCAAATGAAGTCAATCCTTTGGGGAAGAAATGTGGAACTCCCTGCCTTCTCCCTAGCCCAGGCAAAATCCCTGAGCTGTGGCTCTGGACAGTGGCTGGGACCTGGCACATCTCTGAGCGGTCCCCTGCTCCAGCAGCTGGTCACTCTGTACAGGTGGGAAGTAACTTCAACTCTTCATTGTTTATCTCCACCTTATGCGTCAAGGTGAAGACAATCAGGACCCCAGTATTCTCAGTGGCATTGCACCCAAGCTGGAGATGGTTCTCCAGCTGGGACCTGCGGGGAGAAGGAGTCCTTGTGTTCTGGGCCACACCAGTCTGGAGTGGAATTTTCATCTTGCTGGACCAGGACAGGAAAGGGAGGAAAGGAGACTGATTCAAACGCCATAACTTTCATTTTTCTTATTGAGTAGATTTTATGAATAAATGTTTCTTCATTTGCTGAATGCCCTTAGGACAATTTCCAGGGACTTTAAATGGCTGTATTTCTTTTTGCAATTGTCACTGGTTTGACCAGGGAGGAGGAATGCAGGGATTCTCACATTGTTTTACCAGCAGTGGAACACCAATGGGCAATTAGAAGTACTAGGATTTTGGTTTGGATATTACAAGATGTCAGATCACCAGGTGACTGTCATGGGCATTGAAGTAACTTTTATATTTTCTGAAGCTCTGTAGTTCTTTCCTGTAAAAAGATTTTGAGGTTATGCAGAACAGAAACCATAAAGCAAACTCCCTCCCCCTGCCCCATTTGCACCCATTTTTTCTGGTCCTCTTGCCCATCTTGGCACAGAGTGCACTGGGCAAGTCAGTGGAAGCAGCAGAAGGTAGAACACAGGGGCCGAGGCTGGTGAGCCAGTGTGGCCAGGCGTCACCTGCCAGCGTCTCATCTGAGAGCAACTGGACTTTGAGAAGAAAAAAAGTCAATTGATATATAAAGGTGGTCTGGCTGAAAGAGCACAGGAACCAGGGCCTCAAACACACCTGGTGTAAACCCATCCTGAGCCCCACTCTTCCTCCTGTGTTGCCAGGGATGCCTCCCTCCCACTCTGAGCCCTTCACCCTCTGCCCTGGTGTCTTGTCACTTCTCCAGCCTGCATAGCTTTTTACGATTTCTCCTCCCCCCACCCCACTGCTAGGCCTGGTTTAGCCCCTCCTGGTCTCCTGCTCTGCCCCTTGGAACGCAGCCAGTGCTGTGTCTAAGCTCCCACCTTCTCGTCAGCAGGGCACCAACCCCCCTGCCTTCCTCTGTCAGTGGTCATGGCCCCCGCACAGACTCTCCTCTGATGTCAGCTTTGACTTCCTCGGATGCTCACCCTCTTACCCCAGGCAAAGGCTCCTTCAACATCAAGTGGGGCAGGCTGAGCAGACCACTCGGGGAGCAGGCAATCCACCCTCCTCAGCAGGCGAAAAATGTTCCAGTCCCTGACCTGCAGGAGCACAGTTCTGGGGGCCCCGGCTCAACCACACAGCTCATCAGGCCTCTCCAACTTCTGTCTCACTGTCGGCTCTGGGGTTCCCTTCTCAGTAAAGGACCTCATCTGGGTGGGGTCAGTCACTGGGGGGAAACAGGCTAAGAACTCCCCTTCCTCATCTGCAACCTTCTGGAAAGCACACTTCCTCCAGATCTGCGAAAGTACCCGCAGGCCCGAGTCCCATTTGTCACTCACTCACTCACTCACTCACTCACTGATCACATTTACTGTATCACAGGCACTCTTCTAGGTGCTTCACTACTCAAGAGGCAAAAATCCCTCCCCTCACCCAGCTTACGTGCGCTTGAGGAGAGACACTGGGTATCAAACTGAGTTGTGAGTCAGATAAGTTCTGCAGAGAAAAACAACACACAGGGTGTGGGTGGGGAGGGCTAGGGTATCGAAGGAGCTGAAGCCCAGTCGTGGAGTTTGGGGTGGAAGCAGGACTGGGCTGGGAGACCCTGAACAGTGATGCAGCCAAACCGCTGTGGTTTCTGGGGCAAGCGTCCTCTGTCTAAGGGCCCTCTCCACCCCCACCAACCTGGGGCAGAAATAACCAGGCCCCAGTCCCCCAGGTTCACTTAGTCACCAGACGAGGGGGCCCTCTGCAGCCCAGGTGAATCCTGGTAGGATGTCTGGTAATGCCTGCAGATCCTTCTGGGAAGTGGGGTCTGGGTGGTGCGACTCCACTTCTGCCACATGGGACTGACTCAGGGACGGTCTCACAAAGCAAAGATGTGGAGTTCGGGGAAGGAACTCTACAGACATGTGGCAGGAGAGTCATACAGGCAGAGGGGCAGAAGCTAGAGGCTCTGAGTGTGGTGGCGTCTGAGGCTGCAGGGAGGCTGGTGGGGCTGGAGCAGGTGAGGAGCAGGCGTTCCGAGCAGTATGGGGCCAGCCCTCTGAGGCTAGCTGAGGTCTCCGGCCTTTACTCTGAGCAAGGTGGGAGCCAAGGGGGCGTGAGAGTCAGGGCGGTGGGGACATTACTGAGAAGAGCTGAGCCCACGAAGGGCGCAGGGCTGAGCTTCTGAGGGGGAAGCCAAGGAGCCTGGCTAAAGGTCTGCGAAAGCAGGTGTTGGTCAACACTCAGGTCCTGGCAGCCCAGCCGCTTTAGGCGGTGTCTGCTGCCCTCTGGTGGGTGTGCGCGGGATTACCCCAGCCTTCTTTCAGCTTCTCTTGTGGGCTGTTGCCTGCGGTCTCTATGGCTTTTGCAGCTTCACCTGCAAAAAGTGAGCTGTAAAGTCTCCTTTGTCACAGGCGGCGGAGGTGCCAGGCAGCACCTGGAGGAAACCAACTTAGAGATAGGACGGCAAGGGGAAACTATGGTGTGGACTCAACAGTGATTGGAACAGGGTTGGGGCAGGGCTGTGCGATGTTCGGGGTTTTTTATTTTATTTATTTATTTTTATTGGAATATAGTTGATTTAAAGTATTGTGTTAATTTCAGGTGTACAGCATAGTGATTCAGTTATACATATATTTCTCATATTTTTATATTATAGAATTTACAAGATATTGAATATGGTTCCCTATGCTATACAGTAGGATCTTGTTGTTTATCTATTTTCTATACCTTACTTTTATCCTCTAATCCCAAACTCCTAATTTCCATGTATCTAGTAGAAGTGGCACTCTTATTCGCTGGGAGAAGGGATGTTTGGTTTGTCGCTTAGACAATGTTCATGTTTTGTGTCCAACATGATTATGGAGTGGTTTAGTTTTGTCTTCATCCATCATCATCTTCCTGCTGTTGATCTTTTCTGAAATTGTTTACGCTCAAGAGGAAAACACCAAGACCTAGCTGTGAATGTCAGGTTAGCTCCTGGATGCCACAGCCTGCTTTCCTCTTTTTTACATATGCATAATCGTGAAAGATCCCACTCTTGGCTGTAGGATCTAAGTCGCTTTGACAGAGGGAGGCGGCCTCCATCTCCAGCCCAGGTGCAAAGCTTCAGGTAAGTGACTACATTCCACATCAATCTTAATCTCGCAGTTTCCATGGAAACTCTGGCTCACGGTGCGGTCCAGGCCAGTTGTAGCCCGAGCTTCTAGAAGTGAGGCACACTGCGGAAGCTCGACAGGCTGCACTGTCCCGGAGCCCCGGGCTGGGGAGAGCGCGCGGACAAGGGAAGAAGAAACCAACCGGGTCCCGCCACACGGGGGAGCCCCAGGAGAGCAGCCGCACAGCCCAGCACGCCCAGCGCCCGGCCGGATGTGCGCCCTTGCGCGTGCGCCGGCAGCGGGTCCAGACGCCCGCCGGATTGGCTTCGGCAGGCGCTTAGAAGCGGCGTTGCGCGTGCGCGCTATGTCCACGTGGTCCTGAGTGGTGGATGTTGCTCTCTATCCTCAGCAGCAACCCTAGTTCCTGGTCCGGAGCTCGGAATGTTCCCAGAACTCAACAACCTGCTCAACACCACCCCTGACGGGCCGGAGCAGGTAAGAGGTCGCAAGTCGGAAAGGGGGCGGGTCCCGGGAGCGTGGCGGAAGACCGCATATCCGGATGAAGCTCTCGCGGACCCGTGGGAAATAATGCGATGTTGGGGGGCCCGGTGGCTGCTGGGAGTGGTAGTCTGCAGTGGGCGCACCCGGGGCTGGGCTGGACACTTAAGCCTGCGAAAGGAAGGCTTCTGGACCTTCTCGCGTCTTCCCAAAGGTCGTGTGTGCCCTTGAAATTCTCCAGGAAGCACGTCCGACGTTTGGATTCGTTTAAGTTCACAGACGTGTACCAGGAAACCCTGTGCGTGCTCAGTAGAGTGGAAGTCCTGGCGCCCAGAAGAGGTTGCCGAAAGGCAGTGTTCGACTTCCCACCCTTCACGCGGGACCAGCTTCCTAGCCGCCATGAGCCGTCTTCTGGCCCGGAAGCGCTCGGCAGGTCGCAGTGAACGCTGCTGCTCCTCTTCCTCCTCGTTGTCTCCAGTAATGCTCTTTGAAGCTGTTCTCGGCCAACATTGGACTGTATAAGTCCACCTTTGGCACCACAGCCTAGCCACTCTGTTTTCTTCACCCTCCTTCCCGAACCCTAAGGCACCTTGAAATTTTTCACATTTTAGCCCCGGAGTTACCTCTCCTAGTAACACACCTGGTTTATTTCATAACTGTTGTCTTTTTAATGAAATAGTAAGCTCCTCGAGGCAGTCAAGATACCGTGAATGTAAAGCCTTTTTCTGATTCCACAGTGCTAAGTAAATTGTAGTTTTCAGTAGAAGCTTGTGGATTTTAACCGCCCAGCAGTTCTTGCCTGCCCAAACCTCCAGATGGCGCTGGTTACCTTGCCAATTACTGCTAGCACCTCCCAAGTTCGCAGCCCAGGGCCAGAGTGAGGGAATGGTGGATAGGAGTGGGCACCAGGAAATGGCAACGCTGGCGGTAACCCTGCTGCTGTGATCTTTCATATTTTGTAAGTGAAAAAAAGTCACGATAGCACAGAGGTGACCTTTCTTGTCACAGACAGGGAGCTAGAGGTGGATGGAGTAGGGCAGCCAGGCACTGCAGAGACCATCTTTAGAGGTCTTCCTAGAGCTCCGCATGATCATAGTTCTACCTGAAGCAGTGACCAGGGCCATTGGGAGGAGAACTTTGTTACAAGAGGTCTCTGTCAATAACTATTTCCTCCCTGTCCCTTACCCTGTGTACAGAATTAGAACCAGAATTTAAAGTAGGTGGATCAGATGACCTCTATTAAAGTTCCCTTACATTTTTGGCAGTCTGTGATTTTTATTGGGTTCTGATGGTAAAAGCTTCCTTTGTTCAGGATTTAATTCTCCCTAAGACTGATCCTTGAGTCACTAAGGCGAGGAGTGAGGAAAAGAATGGATTTTATTCTATTTTTGCCTTGGGAAAGTGGAAGCTAAGATATGCTTGCCCATAATGAGTGACTTAATACTAATCACTTTAATTGTTGTTTTTTCCATAATTTTGGCTTATTATTTCCTTCTCCTTCTTATTCTTTTTTATTAAACACACACACACACACAGTCTCCAGATACAGCAGTATAGGGGTGGACACAATTGACTAGATTTCTATAGTCAGTTCACCTCTTTCCAGGGAGTGTAATTCACCTTTTTATGTTCTTAACTTTCAGGGGAAGTTGACCTTACTCTGTGATGCCAAGACAGATGGCAGTTTCCTTATGCACCACTTTCTCTCCTTCTACCTTAAAGGTATGGAACTCATTGATGCTGTAGAAAAAGAAACCCAAGGCAGAGGGGCAAAAAAAAGCCTGTTCCAGGAAACAATAAGAATAGTATTAACCAGCCAGGGCTTTGGTGTTTGGGTAACCAGGTGACTACTTACTAGGTAACAGATTATAGACCATCTTGTTCCCTCCCCAGCAATTCCAGAGAGTAGCATGTGCTCATTCTGTCCAGGTAATGCCTTCCCCTTCTCCATCCACTGCACAGACACTGCCCTCCTGAGGTCCTTGTGTGGCCTCCTAATTTAGTTGCTCCTCAGTCCTTGTGTATCTTGAGGTCTCTGGGCATTTGACCCATTGACACTTTGCCCTGTCGGTAGAAGCTTCCTAAAAAACAGGAAAGAAAACAGCATGGCCACTATAATTCACACTTGAAAATTGATTAGAAGAAGAAAACAGCCAAATGAAAAAAAGGCTTATTTATCTATTGATTCTCCTTGAGTCCATACTGAGCCAGACCAGGATACAGGGTAGACCTTTGGCACTTCTTTTTGTAATAACTTAAAGCTTTGAAAGTTTTTTTTTTTTTAGATGATGTTATTGTCAGCATGTAAAGAGCAAGAGAATCTACAGATAAATTATTAGAATTACTTATGTTCATAAGGTAGCTAGAGCTTCTTTGTGTTCCCCCTATATCCTCTTGGATATAAGACAACTTTTTAAAAAAATCAGTTGTATTTATGTGCACCAACAAACAAAAATGTAATTTTTTTTAAAAATTGCCATTTATTTACAATAGAACAAAATAAGTTTCCTAGTAATACGTCTCAGAGGAGAAGTTCATCTCAGAATCATTGAAATAAGGTATAATTATTAAATATGAAAAAAATACATTTTAGAATCAAATTGGGTTTGTTGGGTTGCAAGGCCTCTGGGTCTCTACACCTACCTCAGTGCTTTTGTTTCCAGAGGTACGAAGTATATGAGACAGATTGTAAGTAGAGACTTTATTAAAAATCAGTTTATTTTGTTTTCCAGCTAATTGTAAAGTCTGCTTTGTGGCACTCATCCAGTCCTTCAGTCACTACAATATCGTGGGACAGAAGCTGGTAAATATTCCAGGCCTCTGGGATGAGATCCCTGACTGTGTGTGTTTAGTAGGCTTGTGTGAGTGTGGTCTAAGGCTGAACTTCCCTGTTTGAGTTTTAGAGAACTTAGCAACCGAGGAACTAAGGAAATCCTGAGTTTCTGAACCCCTTATCTGAAGGGTGAAGGCAGCATCTCTGCGTGTTTTTTGAATTTATAAAGTTTGTAGAACCAGATCTATTGTTAATTAATCAAACCCTTCTCTACTGAGTCTGGACCAGTTAAGGTTTTCTCCTCAGTGTGAGCTTAAATCTTGTGTGTTTAATCTTTAATCCTAGTGTGTTAGAGATCACAATTTGGTCTGCTGCTAAGTTGAGCGCCTCCCACTCTCTCTCCCTAAGTCTAGGGCTGAGGACCCAAATGTGGGAAGAGATGCTTTTTGTCACCTGCCCCTCACTTCATCTTGGTTTGTCCTTTATCTCATTAGATGCAGGCAGACAAGGATAAGATGGCCAAGAGGCTGGAGAACCTCCTGACCTCACCTGGGCCATTACTTGTGACCTGTGATTAGGTGGATTTACTGGGTGGTTGTCGTTGTGTGTATTTGTTTTTGTTTTCATCAGGCCAGCCCAGAGAGGGAGAGAACCGGGCTACCCATCAGCAGGGATCTTTTAAATGCCAGTCTTACTGTTGGGCCAAGTCACTGCCTTTTCTGATGGGGACAAACCAATGAGAGGGCCAGAAAAGGGTAGGCTCATCCTTTGCAGAGAAAGGAGAGGCTCCTGTGTTAAAGATCAGAGCATGAGCTCCTGAGAGCAGTCATGTCAGGAACACAGGTTGCATTTCAGATCTGTGCAGCATGTCTCTGTGGCCCTAGTGTCTGTGTTTATGGATGAGAAAGCTTCACTCTGCAGTCTCATGTCCAGATTGGCTGCTTTTTCTGTTACCTTTGAATCATTATCAACATAGCAGGAATGGCACACACAGCACTGGGCATGCAAAATACTAGAATGTGAGCTTCCGTACTGTTGGTGTATTATTGTTCTTACATCAATAGAATGGTTATGAGTAAGAGCACAGGTGACAACGAGGAGTCCTTCTCCCTGCCGGAGCCGCTCTGTTGCTAGTGGTGTTGCATAGTGAACACTGGTGTGTGAATGAGCGAACGAGACCTGATCTGGGGACCTGGAGTCTTAAGGAGTTCCGTGTCACCTGTTTCTGCACAGGTAGAACAATGGTTTGCATATTTAGATTAGCGTCACTGTCTCTGGGTGTGTGTTGGAATGCAGAGTCTTGGGCCCTGCCACCAAGGCTTCTGATTCTGGAGATCTGGAGTGGGGCTCAGGGATCTGCATTTTAATCCGTTATCTCAAGAGATTCTTAATTGCATGGCTTCTGAAGACCCATATTTAAGAAGTGCTGGTCCAGGGCAGGGGTTGACCAACTACAACCTGCACCCCTTGTTTTATGTAAATAAAATTCTATTGGAACACAGCCACCCCATGTGTTTACAAGTGGTCTGTGGCTGCTTCCGCTCTGCAATAGCAGAGCTGCAGCAGAGACTGGCATCCTGCCCCTACTCATTGTTACTGTTTACTTACTGTTTTGAAAGGTACTTCGTTTTGTAGATACATGCTCTTCATATTACTATTGTAAACTGAAAAGCAGTACTGGGTAATCACAAAACTAAATATATAGGCAAAACAATGTAAGTTTTACAAAAATGTGACAAGTAAATGTAAAGGCACGTCTGAAAACAGAATAAGGATGGTGGGGTGGGATCACCTGGGGGAGAGAGGACATGGGCCACCATGTGGGGTGAACAGGCACACACCTGTAGGGTTTGGAATGTGTCTTATGCCCTCTTGTGAGCTGGAGGTGGGTTCCCTGTGAGGTGCAGGAACCCCCCTCCTCTCTGTCGTGTTTAGGGTGTCAGCCTGACCGCAGCGCGGGAGCGCAGGCAGCTTGTGTTCCTCGAGGGTCTCAAGTCCGCAGTGGACATCTTCTTCCGGCCTCAGGAGGAGCCACACCCCCTGCAGTTCCTCAGGTTAGTCAGCCTGCGGCCAGCTGGCCCAGCAGGGCACACCTGGCGGGTGGGCCCGGAACAGGCTTGTGGTGTGATCCCCTCTCCCTAGTGTGTGGGGGACAGAGCTGGCTTCCTGGGTTAGACACTTCCCTGGTGTCACAGCATCATCAGAAAGCCCTCAGCTCTGACCTTGGGCTAGAGGATGTGCGGCTGTCCCCAAAACTACAGAAAGCGTTCTTTGCTGGGTGTGTGGCAGAACACTGTGCTCTGCTGGTTTTTCCAACCCTGGCTCAGAGCCTTAGCACACACCTTTGTTCTGTTCTTGGCTTGATCCAGGACTCACAGACTATGAGCAAGCGCCAGCTACTTTTTTTGGTAGATCAAGTTTTGTTGGAGTAGCCACACTCGTGTGTTCTCAGACTGTCCCTGGCTGCTTGGCTGCACAGCAGCAGGGCTGAGGGTTGAGGCAGAGACCATATGACCCACAGGCCGGACATAGTCACTATTGGCCTTTTAAGAAAAAGTTTGCTGACTGCAGGTTGATATTCTGAGATTGGCTTTCCTGCCTCTTATCCTTTATGAGTGTCAGCCACAGACAGCTCTGTGCTCATGCCCCGCCTGGCTGCTCTCCGTCCTGCACCACAAAGGAGTCCGTGCAGGAACTCGCCCCGCTGTGCCTTCCCTCCAGCTCAGCCTTCTGCAGCAGCTGGGGTGCAGTGTGGCGTCAGAAGACCACATGCCCTGACCCTGCATGTGTGGCCTTGCGCACAGCCCTTTTCATCTCTGAACCAAGGTGTCTTTGTCTCAGTGATGGGCCTGTTACACCTGAGGCGAGGTTGTGGGGGGGTGTTGTCTCTGCTTTTAGCGGGGCTCAGCCGTGGGGTAGTGTGGCAGGTGCCTGGCCTCTGGGCCTCGATTCTTTTTGAGCCCCAACCTGTTGCTGGAAGATGGAGGTGGGGGAACCAGCAGTGTGAGAACCAGGTCGGACCTGCTGTGTACGTAAGCAGCCCTTACACTGCTGCCCCTCACCACCAGGACACCCTAGCTGATGTTTAGCTTTTCATGTCCAATTATGGCCTCATAGGAAGGCCTTTCCTGCCTGCCCAGTCCCAGTGAATCTTCCAGATGCTTAAGCTGTTGGATCAGGAGCCCCTGGGGGCTGTTTATGTTTGTGTCCCCCGGTTTCCAGCACAGTGCTTTGTACCTAGTAGCCTCAGGGCGTGTTTGACTGAAGTAAACGTACTCGTGTGCACGCACACCTGTTCTTCCCAGCCATGTCGTCAGTCCCTTGGTGTCAAGGACTGTGAGCAGGTTCCCCTTCTCCCCCGAACCCTTCTCTCTTGTGCTGCTCAGTCTCATAGACATTAGTAGAGAGACTGGGCTCTCTCTTGACTTTGCCCTGTGTCCCAGGGAGGCCAACACCAGGAACCTGCAGCCCCTGTATGAGTTTGTGCGGGAGGCCCTGAAGCCCACGGACGAGGAGGAGGCTGCCTGGAGGTGCCCGGTGCTGCTGGTGGACGACCTCAGTGTGCTGCTGAGCCTGGGCGTGGGGGCCGTGGCGGTGCTGGACTTCATCCACTACTGCAGAGCCACCGTGTGCTGGGAACGGAAGGTAACGGTGGGCCTGCTCCCCATGCTCTGCCTGTGACCTCTGTGGGCCCAGGCAGCTCCCGACCTCGCTTGCTTGCAGTGATCTTTTCTGTTTAATTCCTTGGGCTTTGGCTTTACTCTAAGAGTCCCAGAAATCTTTCAGTCTGTGCACCCTGCTCTCTACTGCTGTTGCTGAAAAATAAAGCCCTCCAAAACTAAAGGGATCCCTGGCACCGTCTTTAACGGGGCGGTCACTTGCGGTACTGCAGTGGTCCCAGCTCTGCCACACGTCATTATTGCTTTGAGCGTGTTTTGAAGATCGGTTGAGATAGTCGGTTTAATACAGCTTTAAAAATTGATGTGATACAGGGATAGAATGTATGTAACCTTTACTGTCAAATTTTGTGGCAAAAATAGAGATTTTTGCCATGATAGAGATTTTAACAAAATAGGAATGGCGGTGGTGCCTGCCTTCCAGCTAGCTGACTGCAAGGGTTGGGTGAGGTAAGGCTCACGCCACGCCAGCTCAGGCGGGGCGCAGAGCAGTGGGGAGGGGAGGTAAATAAGTTGGCCGGGGGTGTGTAGGTCCCGCAGTGCGTGTTGAGCACCTCCTGTGTACAGGGTCCTGCCTGGAAGCTGGGTTTAAGGGGCCTTCGGAGTCCGTCCTGGCTACAGTCACAGGGCCAGGCAGCAGGTTGATGTGGCGAGAATGGAAGGAGGAGGAAACATGAGGGGCCTAAGGACACAGCTCATGGGGGCTCCGGAGGGAGTGAGAGAGTTAGAGTCAGCTTCTGCAGCTCAGCCTGCTCTGTGACCCACTGCCACCCACTTTTTGTAAAAATACTTCTTTTAGTTGAAAAAGTAAAACTTGGGAATAGTTTTTAAAAAAAGGACCAGAAATAAACAGTATAAAGGCTACTTCTGCAAAAAATAATTGTTTGTCTCCCTCCGTCCATGGCATGTCCTTCCAGAGAGTCTTCAGTTTATGTACACTTGTCTCCCTGCAGTTTTCTTCACGTTGCTGGTAACCTGCCATCCACACAGCTCGGTACTTCTTTTCCTTTAATGACACACAGTGTGTTTTGGTGTCCGTTGCCTGAGAACACAGATCTGTTTTATTCCTTTTAACAATGGGACACCATTCCTCCGTTGCAGATGAACTGAGCACTGGTGGGATGTGCTGGTGAAACTGTCCAGTGCATGATTGCAGTTATGGTCCTGGAGCCCAGGCGGGTCCTTCCCATGGAGGGGTTGCTGTGAGAGGGTGTGCAGGGCACCCAGTGCTCCCTGATTCTGGCATCCCTTCCGGGTCAGAGCAGTTCTCCCTCTTGGTCTCTGTTGCAGGGAAACATTGTGGCCCTTGTGCATGACAGTGGAGATGCTGAGGACGAGGAGAATGACATCCTGCTGAATGGCCTTAGTCACCAGAGCCACCTGATCCTGCGGGCTGAGGGCCTGGCCACTGGCTTCTGCAAGGACGTGCATGGGCAGGTGTGTAGGGGCTGGGGGCAGGCACTCGCTGGGCAGTAGCTGCTGCCTTCCCTGAGTAGGGTGCTGTCGGGTCATAGGGTGGTCTGGTTGGTCCTGCCCTCTATTGGGAGGCCTCGGAAGTTGTGTGAATACGAGCCGGTGTCTGCCCCAGATGGTGCTCGGCCCATGCATCAGGGCAGGTTTTCCGCGGTGGTCCATTCTTGGCCAGAGCACAGCTCCTGGAGAGGAGACAGCTGTCTGCAGTGGAAGGTGGGGGCCCTGCTACTAAATATGGTGGAGTTCCTCTGCAGGAGCACAGCGGCTTTGGGGAAATACGTGACAATACTCTAATGGTGTTTCTCCGGATGACTCTTTTCTACCTCTCAGTTTTTTTTAGTCTTTCATGTTTTCTGTAATGAGCGACTATGACTGTTATGATGGAGGGGAAATCTTTATTTTTAGGTAGCTGGTAATGAGCTTTAGTTTGGAAGTCGGTCCCATGACCGCATGGCACATGTGACTGTGATCTCATGGAGCCCTCAAGGAAAGGTCAGGTTCCCGATGGGGCAGGGACTTGGGGGGCCTCCGCTTTCATTCTTCTCTCTGACGCTGCAGCTGAAGATCCTGTGGAGGAGACCTTCACAGCCCACAGCCCCACGAGATCGGAGCCTCACTTACCAGTACAAGATACAGGACAAGAGCGTGTCCTTTTTTGCCAAAGGAATGTCTCCTGCTGTTCTGTGACCTGATTTAGAGGCAGCTGCAGCCACTTTGGACTATTTTTGGAGTGAAAGATAAAGCAACTGAGCAGGAGTGGATCTTTACACCTTTGTAGCAGGCTGGCAGCTCCACTGTGACCTAAGGCTGGTGGAATGGTGTGGCAATGGTGTGCCTTCACTCCCCCCGGGCCCTGCTCAGAAAATGTACGAGGAATCTGCAACACTGCCTCAGCTGAGAGAGATGCTGCATGTTAAACTGGCTGAAAGGGGTCCTTTTGAGCCTTCCTTATAAACACGCTTTAGCCCTAACTGCCCATTTTTGGTTCTCATACCTTTTAGAGCCAAAGTAGGTATGAATGTTCCCACCAGGAGGCAGTCCTGGATGGCATGTGTCCAGGGTAACAGCTAGGACAATCGTGGCTGGCATAAAGTGAGTTCCCACCTCATGGCTTCCCGTGGATTGTCTCACTTAATTTTCACCTTCATCCAAAGATAGTTTCCCCTTCAGTCCAGTGAGGAAACAGGCTTCGAGAGGTTTGGAAGCATGCTCAAGGCTGTAGGGAAGGCTGCAGGTAATGGAGGCCTGACTCTAAAGTCCACACTTGCTGACTGACTGTCATGGAAACCAGAGGCAGGCTCCCTGCCCAGTTCATAGGTCGGCTCCTCCAGTTTCTGTCGTACCTGCCCCTGTGCCGATGAGATCAAGCCATCGAGGGCCTGGCCTCCTGGCCTTGGCCACGAGGCCCCATGTAGGGCACAGGTGTGCCTGGCCTTGGTGAGAGGGATAAGGAATGTTCCTGCTGCCAGGCAGGACTGGGCCTTGGGGTGTAGCCAGTGTCTCCCTCACCAGTGAAGACTGAAGGCGGTGACCTTCTGCCCCAGCATCCTGCAGATGCCAGCTTGCCACACTCAGCCCCTCAGTCAAAGTCACTCAGAGTATTCTCTTAGGATGGGTACGTTTTATTATATGTGCTTTGTACCACAAAGAATTTGATTTTGAAAATAAATAAAATGAAAAAATAACACTGCTTTAAGGGAAAAAGGAAATTTCATATCTATTGTTTGATTTTAACCTTTTTTTACACTTTTTAGTCTTTGTAAACTGAACAGTTATCACCTCTCTCTTCAACTCATACCGACTTTTGGGTCAGTTATCCACTGAAACAGTAGCTGCTTTTCTTCTCAAAATATTGCAGACCTGATAGAATGTTTGAAAATCATGAGTGTAAGTAATTTAAGAAAGTAGTTATTAAAGGATCTCGTCATTCTTTTATTAGTAATGCAGTGTTTATACCAGCTTCGTGTAAGTTACAGTTCTGAATGGGTGAGGCACCACGGAACACTTCTTACACGATACCAATTGTTGCTGATATATTCTTCTCTTGATTTATAAGTGTTTTCACTAAATTTTTAATGTTTAATGGCTATTTAGCATTTTATAGGTCATTATAGTCTAATTTGCTTAGCTATTCTCTGGGCATATAGGTTCCAGTTTTTGTAATTATAAATTACGCTGTGATGAATTTTATATACTGTACCTTTTTAGGGATGGGGGAAAATACTTGTTTCCTTAGAACTTTCATTCATTCCTGCACTCAACAAATGCTGAGGCCTTCTATGTGGCAGGCCGCTCTCGGCCCTGAGGCTATGACAGTGACAAGATAGGGCCCTGCCCTTCTGGAGCTGACATTCCAGTGGAGGAGACAGAGACAGACAGTCACCAGAACTGAGAATTAAGAGATTGTAGAGTTAGACCTTGATAAGTGCTATAAATAAAGCAGGGAGGAGGCCTGTAAGGAGCTATGACAGTTTAGAGTGTACTCCCTGAAGTGGAATTTCTGAATGAAAGCAGGGACTGGCCCTCATATGTCATCAGGTGGTTCTTCAGAATGATGAAGCCAGTCAACAGTGATCGATAGTTTTCCTCCACCAATGCTGGGGTACTGGCAAGGGTATAATTTTCTGTATTTTCCCATGTGTATAGAATCTATTCCTCACTCTTAGTCATTTATCAATTAAAATCTGGTGTCAGCTTATTTTTTATTCTTTGTGATATTTTGGAAAGTAAGATTTTATCATTGTAAAATGGTCATTTTAATGTAAAAATATTTCTACATCTACAAAAATACTGTCTACAGAAACATTTTTTTCCTTATATTCAGAAATACATTAAAGAACTATTTGTAGAATACCTGTTTCATATAAGGGGTTATTAAGCTAAAGACACCTGCTGTAAGCTAATGGGGCACAGAAAACAGGAACCTAATTGATGTGATGCCGTGGAGGAGAAGATGAGGGCCATAAAAACGATTCAAGTAGTGGGAGACTGATAGGCTGATGGTCACAGAAAAGAGCAGTGATTTCACCTCACTTTTTTTTTTTTTCCCTGAGTTGAGGGAGTGGAGATTGAAGACTGTATGGCAGCAGTGCTATTTGAACAGGACCTTGGAATGTTCTGTTTTGTCTCTGATGGTATCTTAGTTCCTCAGAATTCAGAAATGTATATTTTTTCTCAGTGGAATTAAGATGCTATCCTTTTTTTTTTCTAGTTTAATTTTTAAAATATGCTTAAAATTTTGGCTCACTTAGAATTTGATACAGTGCTGTGATTTGTCTCCATGCTGATAACTAAAGAGCCCAACAGAATTTATTGAAAAGTAATGTTCCTTTCTCTTTCTGTAGTTCTGATTTATTTATATGTAAAGTTATTAAAATGAGCCTCTCTGAAGTTTGTCTTTAGTAGACATTGAAAGGTTAGTGTATGTCTGTATCAAGAGTCTTTTAAAAGAATATTGTATCCCGAGGACCTCTTATTTGTACTAAAGTTCCCAGTTTTCACAAAAAAGGGAGGGTAGGGGAGGGATATTATATTCAGGTGAATTTCAAAAGCTCTTTATCAAGCTGTATAAAATATTCTTCAGGGACTTTTTCTCCCATTTTAGAAATTGTAGTTGTATAATTTCATTTTAAAATAATGAAATTAATGTAATATTCTCTTATTAAGTGCTCTTTGTTATTGCAAAAGGAATTACATGATTTTGTTGTGTTTTCCTTGTCTTTGATATAGGAGTGCAGTTAACTTTTTAAAATTTATAACTTATCCTACAGTTTTTCTAAAATATAGCTTCTAGTAATTTTGGGGGATTCTGGAATTCTTTAGATATGTTTCTCTTTTTTTCCCTTTTTCTAGATACTATTAACATCTGAAAATAAGGATACCAACCTCTCTTATTTTCTTTTGAATAATTTCAACCTGCATTTTAAAATTTGTTTTAAGGGTGATTTGAAGGTGTTTGTTGTCTAGTTTCTATTTTTTAAGGGGATAGGAAGCATTGTATATAGTAATTCTTAATTTAAAAAGTATCTATTATCGAGTCAGTTAAAAAAATAACCTTGGAGAAGGAAAGGACAAAGAAATGTTCCTCCTCAATTTCCTGTCCCCCCTTCTTAAAAGTTTAACCAGTGATCATTGAATTCTGTAGACCTTCTCAGCCTCACTGAGGTAACGGCACTGTTTTTCCTGTGGATGTGATGAACATGGTCACACTTCTCTGTTGCGTGAGCCTGGATTCCTATCTTGGTCTTGTCTTCCTGGTAATTGTATTTTCTATGACCTGCTGTTAGGCTTGCTAAGATTTTTGAATTAATATTTATTATTGAGATTTATATTATTGTGATATCATGTCGTCTCTATTTGTGAGTTAAGACGACCTATAATTTTTTTGTTTATCTGTGTCAGCCTGGTCAGGTTCGAGCATTAGAGCAGTATACGCCTCATAAGCCGTGTTGAAAGAACTTGCTGCCTTTTGTACATTTTGAAATTCTTAGTGCTTGTTATTCCGAGTTAGGACTTGCATTGGTAAAGGTAACTTTTCGGAGGCAATGACCTTACTCAAGTTACTTAACCTCTCTAGGCCTCAGTTTCATCATCTACGAAATGGGGGAGATAATGGTGCCTGTTTCATGGGGTTTAGAGGGTTGTGAGGATGAAATAAGTGATGAGGACACGTACGGCAGCCCTGGTCCGTGTTTAAGTATTGGCTACTGCTGCTGTTCTCCCCTCACTAACTCCTACCTTCCGTGGCCCTGCTTCTACACATCCACTGGGTGATTCTTGCTTTTTGGTTTCCTGCCAACTAACTCCCTTCCACCCAGAGCACTTGGAAACTCAGTGGCAGAAGTTCAGGGGCTTTGAGTTGGGCAGACTGGTGTTTGATGCTGCCTCGTCACGACCTCCGGCAAGTTGTTAAAACTCTGGTTGCTTCGGTTTTACATCCCTAAAATGGGGTTTATCTTACCTGCCTCTAAAGGCCATCATGAGGATCATACAAGGTAATACATTGTAAAGCCCGTCTCTGGCAAGGAGCCAGCAATCAATAGTTTGTCATTATTATTGGCTGCTGTTATGACCTCTGTAATAGCCTTGTCAAATTGCTTGTAAGGTGTTGTTTAAAGGTATGCAATAAGACAACTGGTTTAGTGCGGAGAATTAACTTATATCCCTGGTCTCTGACACATGGTGGGAACTTGATGGGTAATAAAGGCATTGAATGAACAACTTGGAGATTTTAAATATTTTCAGTGACTGTATCATGATTATTATAATGACTACAGTTTATTGGAATCTAAGCATTTTACATGTGTTCATACCACTTTAATTTTTTGAAAACCACAGAGGTCCATTTTCCTGGAACGTGACTCCTAAGTCAGGGTTCCCTGAGGTAAATTTTCCTGGCCACAGAGCAGCTGCTGCAGCTGCGTGTCAGAAGCAGAATTTAAATCCAAGGAATCTGGCCCTGAAGCAGCCCTTTCTGCTTTATCACATTGCCAGCTGTTATCACTAATGCTTAATTCATGGTGAGCTTGATCATTAGTGCAAGTGATTGCAAAGACAGAGCTCTATCACTGTGAAACACCCTTCTCTGTGTCCACGAGGCTGCGGCGGCTGGGCAGTGGGCTGGAACCCAGAGTCCCGTGGCCACCTGCCTGGTCAGTTATCAGAGTGACCTTGGGGAAATCTCCTCCCCTGTCTCAAATAAGTTTTCTTCACTTGTGAAATAGACCCAGCCCCTATTTTTGAACATTGCCAAGATGTTTGGCCCAGGCTGGATTCTCAAGTTCTAGGAATTGTTATCACTTCTGGATGATCTTTAAGCTCCATTTAGTTTGTTTCAATTTTGAATTTACCTAGGGGAGCAATCCGAAGTAAGGCTGAGCTTTGGCTAGTTAGGGCAAAATGGAGCTTGTGGACAAACAAAACAAAACAAAACAAAAAACTGCCTATCATTTCAATAAACAGTGAATGTTGCCCACCATCAAGCCATCAGCCACTGCAGCCACTCCTCCTGCCCCATCAACGGTGCACCTTGAGGGAAATTCAGGATGGATAAAAACAGGGTACTGGCCCTAGATGGTTAAGATGCATATCAAAGGAATGAGTTCAGTGATTCCAGACTCTTGTATTTCCCATACTTGAGATGTCTGTTTTTACGATTAGTGGTAGTAGTCTCTTGATGTTTGACTACACAGTTTTGTTTTTGTTTTTTTCCAGTAAAAACTCCAATATATCCTGGCTTCTCTCCTTACCTCTTTGGAAGAGTTCCTCAGAGCTATCTGAAAGGCTGGGCTATCATCCTCAGTAATGTCCCCGAAAACCCCAGAATTCTCAACTTTCAGTTTGTGTGTATTTTTTCAGTCAACAGGCTGTTCCACCTGAAGTATATTTAGAAACTAAAATCAGGTATCTGTGGTTTACCTGGAAATGCATAACAGATAAGATGGATTGATAGGTGGAGAAAGGGATAGAGTTTTTTTAAGAAAAACATGTAATACTAAGCAAAACAGTGATAGTTGTAGAATCTAGAGTATATACTTGTTAACTGTTATGTTCTTTCAGCTTTTCTCTATGTTTTCATTATAGATTGTTGGAGAAGCCATAAGACCTTGGCCACTTCATTCCACTCACGGGGGGCAACAGACACTCCAGTGGCTCACCTCTTGTAGCGGAGGACTCTCGGCAGTGCTGCAAGACACAGAGGCACTTGGCTAAGTGCTTGTCAGTTTTGAAGGCTCTTATTTGGGGCGGAAGTGTCCAGATCTTACTGAGGGTCAGTCCCCTGTAAACACAGGTTGGGTAGGGAAGGGATGGGGAGTAAAGAGGGTGACAGCAGTGTCCCCAAAGACACTGTCTACCTCCTTATGGTAGGGGCTGTGAAAAGACAAGCTCCCAGCCCTCTCTGGAGAGAAGACTGGTCCAGTGGGCCTAGGGTAGGGCTCAGGAAGACTCCAGTTTAACTTTAAATAGTCCCTCAGGTGATTCTGCTGTGAGCCAAGTTTGGAACCACATTCTTTGTAGGAACGTGACGGTAAAAGGAAGGGACTGGTACCTAGTCACGCAGGGTGACTATAGGTTCACTCAGAAAACTAAAAAAATTGGATAGACTTTCTATTTGCCCAAAGGAAGGAGGCAGTGGAGAGAGAAGGAAGAACTGGAGCCAGAAGTGAGGTCCTTTTTGCCCAAGGTTTCTGAGGAGCCACAAGATGGCATCTCAAGGGATCGGAGATGGAGGGAGTGATGGGAGATGGATAAAGAGTATAGGTAAGGCTCACCATACTGATCTCTCCTTCACTCTCTAATTTAAAAATAACAACAACAACAAAATTCTTCCTTTATAGAATAAACGTTCTCATCTAAAGCCAAAATGTAACTCTGAATACAGGGAAAAATCTTAAAGGTCACTTTGGGCCAAAGCCATTGTCCCCATGATTAATTTTATCTTTTTTTTTAACCTTTATTGAGATCTTTATTTCTTTTTTTAAACTTTTTTTTTATTGAATTATACTCATTTTACAATGTTGTGTCAAATTCCAGTGATTAATTTTATCATTGATAATGGTGTGGTGGGCAGAGAGGAAGACAAGATTTTGGAAAGGTTAGAACAGGGTCGAGGGGACGGGGCATGACAGTGCAGAAGGCCTGCTAGGGAGGGACAAGGTGGCTGGAGGTGCCTGAAGTGTGCCTCTGATTTCAGCCTGGCATTGAGCTTACATCTGCACTTTATGCAACCCCAGCGCTGCTGCCTTCCAGGGTAGGAACAGGAACTATCTGCCTTATCCAGGTAGCTCCAGGGTGGATGCGAGTAAGCTGAGAGGGGTGTGCTCACGGCAGGAGGGTGGGACGAGGCTGACCCCTGACACTCCAGATCTGGGTCCATACAGACTTGGGGTGGTGTGATCAAGGTCCCTGCGCACTGGCCCACAGGTAATCTCCAGGGGGTAGCATCCTGGAATGGGCTGGTGCTCCACAGGCTGGGACCCTCATCTCAGAGGAAGCCGCCTCCTCAAAGGATACGGTAGGTAACAAGATCTACTTCAGGGTTTACCGGAAGGTTGGATGAGACGACTGTGCAAAGTGCTCAGCTCAGCATGTTGTCAAACCCGAACCTGTGTGCCTGACTCTGAGTGAGACCAAGCCAAAGGAAACGAGTTTTGAGCCTAGAAAGATTTGCTGTAGGGGCACACTAGGAGAATGGATGGCTCATATATGAAAGACTCAAACTCCTGATGGTTTTCAGGGAAGGGTTTTTAAAGGCAACTTTTGGGGTGAGGGCTGCAGGGTGCGTGACTTTCTGATTGGTTGGTGGGGAGGTAACAGGCAGTGTTCCAGGAATCTCGTGCGCAGCCTGAAGTTACCGGCCTCCACCTGGGTGAGGGCCTTATTCTGTATCCCTTGAGGAAGAACTAGGAGTCTTTCCTTTGCTTCTGCATTCCCTCCCTTCCCTGATTAGTAACTGAATCTGCCCTTTGGAATTCAGGGAAGGTCTAGGAAGCTAAAGCTTTTTTCTTACAAACAAGAAATAAGGGACATGCAAAGGCTTTACTATGGGGGGGGGGGACACAAGGTCCCCTTGTTTTAGTCCTTTTTCTTTGATACTCCTCAATTTTGAGGGTGACAAGTGCTGGACAAGAAAGGGAATAATGTTTTGACTAGAGAGGTTAATCATATAAACTCAGTAGAGGAACTTGGTTTTAGGGGGACTTGTTTTGAAGCACCTGGCACAGAACACACGTTCAGTGGACGTAGCTATTGTTACTACAACAAATACGTGTTCCATATAGAAAATGGTTATATGCCCCTGAGTAAATGGAAAAACCCCAACATCCATTACCCCCCACCCAGGGATGACCACTGACCACACATCAGCATCACCCCAGACCCTTCTCCTTGGATTGTTTTTAACAAAAATGAGCTCATACCCTACAGCTCATTTTGAGCCTTCTTTCAAGAACGTCTTTCCATAGTAGTAAGTACTGCTAAAACTTATCCTTTTAAAAGACCTTGGGAAGCTCGTTTTATGGATGTAATTTAATCGACCCATCTGCATTTGCTGTGTATCTCAGCTGCTTTTAGTTTTTTGCTGTTATAAAACAGGGAACCTGGGGATCCTGTGCGTGTTCTTGCTAATTCCCCGAATGTGTCGTTCAAAGCTCTGGTGCGTGGGTCGTCGGGGGTCGTCGGTCGGCCCGGTCTTTACCCGACCCGGTCCCCCCCGGCCCTTCCCCCCCGGG